GGAGTGCATATTACGGCTGTAGGTAACAAATACAAAAAATCGGATGAACAATATATATGGGAGCTATAGCTATATCTGAACCGATCTTCCCCAAATTTGGCATACTACCTTCTAGACTAAATTCGGTCGTATGTGCCAAATTCCATCCCATTCGGACAAATATTAGACGTTTGGTTTTGAGAGCTATATCCAAATCTGAACCGATCTCGATAAAATTTAGCAAAGGTATTTCTGAGCTGCATTTGATATATTTCCCCAAATATTGTTGTTACAGAGTGCATATTACGGGTGCGGAGGACAAAAATAACAAATCGGATGAACAATATATATGGGAGCTATAGCTATATCTGAACCGATTTCCATCAAATTTGGCATGCTTATTTTTAGGCCTAATTTGGTTGTATGTGCAAAATTCCATACTATTCGGGCTGATATTACACGTTTGGTGCACAATAAAAGGCAAATCGGGCCAAACAAATGTTGTTTGCAAAATTTCATCTCAATCGGATAATAAATGCGACCTGCATTTTGTTCACAAGAATACATGGACAGACGGACGGACTGACATGCATAAATCAACTCAGAAAGTGATTCTATGCAGATCATCAAAAGGAACTATGGGTCTATCTCGTTTCCTTTTGCCTGTTACAAACAAATGCACAAAGACATAATACCCTGACCACCTTGTGGTGTAGGGTATAAAAAACATCGGCGGGTATGTTCGCTACATTTTTAAAAAAAAAATATTTGAGTTGAGTTTCTTCGAAAGCCATTCATTTTGAGCATATATTGTCACCGGCATTATTACTGGATAATATCGGGGGAATTTTAGTAAACTAAAGTAACCCTCAGCCAAGTCATAAAAGGTATCGTTTAGGTATTTTCTTTCAAAAATTCCTTTTATATGTGATCGTATCATATCGAAATATTCTACAAAATTGCTCATCATAAAAGTTAACTATAGATCTCAGGATTCACAAAGAAACCAAAACCTACTCAAAATCTCGGAAATTGGAAAAGAAAATAAACAAATTTTAGGGTTAAAGTAGCACTCATTAAAAGTTCCATAAACCACAGTTTTAGGGGGAAGACGTTCTACCTAAAATTTACAATGAGTCGGCAAATATATAAAATCTGCATCCATATCGTATATCTACAAAATAGCTAAATCAATTTTCACGATAAAAATATTTCTTAATTCTTTTGATAAAATGTGTGTTATTCTTTTTTAAGTTGTTGTGTAAAAGTAATATAAAACAGAGTTTTAGAGAAACAGTGTCGGAATAAATCATACATCAAAGTAAAATACTTCTTTACGAAAATTGAATTGAAAATTAAAGTGATTCAAAACTGAGTTTTTTTTATGCCTTCAGCCAAATTACTGTATTGCTGAGGGTATAAAATATGATGATACAGCCAAAACGTGCTTAATTTAAATAAGAGTTTTAGACCCTAAGTCTCTTTGGACCAAATCCGTTTCAGGACATTTGGAGTCGATCAAGTGATGACCTTCCGTACGTCTGTCTATCTGGCTGGTGCGCACGATAACCCTCGAAGGGAGTATCTGATTTGGTCAAAATTTGGTACATCGTAATATTATTGTCAAACTTAGATCGAGTTCGGTGATGGGCAATATCGTTCTGGTACCTCAACCACAAAAGGTCAAAATTTTCAAAGCAAAAAAATATTTTACTGCACAGAAAGGGAAAGGATATTCCGATTTAGCTACAAATCCTAATATTTACATTAGCCCCAGGTAAGATGCGAAAATTGACAATATCGGTCCACTCCATCGAGCACCTCCACCACAAAGGGTCAAAATTTTGAATAATTATAACTCATATAAAATGTTATTTAAGAGTTCGATTGTCTTCACATTTCACACATTCCATTATTTCTACTAACACAAGATCTGCTGTAATAATCGAAGGTACCTCCCAAAAATTTAAATTTTATATGCACACATCTATTTATCGATTACTAATACAGCGTGACGAAATTTGGAACTAAAATAAAATTTCCAAATTATATTGAAATCTGTTCAGATTTGGATATAGCTTCCACATAAATTGTCGACCTATTTCGTTTATTTAATGCACCAAACACGAAATGTATGTTCGACTCCAATGAAATTTGGATTGAGTGACGGAATTTGAAACTAAAATAAATTTGCCAAATTATATTGAAATCGGTTCAGATTTGGATATAGCTCCCACATATATTTTCGACCGATTTTGTTTATTTTATGCACCAAACACGATATGTAGGTCCAATTTCAATAAAATTCGACATGAGTGACTAAATTTGTTACAAAATTAATTTTTTTCAAATCTGAACCGTACATACATATTTGATGCACCCAACGCGATATGTATGTTCCATTCCAATGAAATTCTGATAGACGGACGAAATTTGGTACCAAAAAGAATTTTCCAAATTATATTAAAATCGGTTGAGGTTTGGGTATAGCTCCCATATATATATTTCTGTCGAGTTCACGCTATGTATCTCCAATTTCAATGAAAGTTGGAATGTGTATCGGAATTTGAAACGAACATACATTAGCTAAATTACATTGAAATCGGTTCAGATTTGGATATAGCTACCATATATATTTTTGGCCGATTTCGTTTATTTGATACACCAAACAAGATATGTATGTATGTTTGATTCAAATGAAATTTGAAATGTGTGACGCGATTTAATCAGAAAATACATTTGTCAAATTTTAAATATTTTTATCTGTCATAACTTGCGAAACAAGTCAGCGATTCTTTACAACTTGCTATATCCAAATATTTCTCTCAACCAGAAACTTGAGATGAATATGGAATTTATGGTTTCGAATAATGTGGGATTTAAACCGCGGATCTCGGTGTGCAGCCAACTAGAAGTTGCCGTCTCAACGTTCAGAGCCATCAACCCGTCTTCCTGAAGCAGCACTAAAACAAGTGTATGCATTGGAAGCAATGCAGTTGTTGTGGACAAAAAATCCATCACTACAAGAACAAACTTTGCTGTGAAAAATATCTGCTAATAGAACTTGAGTCGAACTTGGAGAGTTTTGTGTTTAATTCGTATATGCTAAATCGCAATAAGTTCGAAAAAAATACTGTTTTCCAGAGAACGGCCCTTGTAAGCCATCATCCACACCAAATATGCCTGATGAGGCGCTGAACCAACGGTGAAGCGCGTCGCATTTTCACTGCAAATTTCAGATCATTAAGCTCGTCTCGAAAGAGAAACAAACACATAAATCATAAACATATGATCTTCGCCTTAACAAGGCAAAACTCAAGAATTGAATATAAATGTTCGATTTTCTTGTAATTTTGTCCATATCAATATTATTATCTGTATTAGATGAAGTATGAAAATGGAATACTTCGGTATATATGGCAATCACTCACATTTCAACGTTTTTTTAAAAATTATCACATATCTCATATAAAGGGAAGGAAGTAGTCGATATAAAATATGATTTTTGGCCTTGAAAATATCACGATGAACGATTTGTTTTTGTTGAGCGAATTTTTGTTCACAGGAGGATTGGCATGAGTTGGTTTCAACATGACGGCGTTACTTGCCACACAGCGCAAGCTACATTCGATTTTCCAGTAGTAAACAGATTTGGACGGGTGCATTAGCATTAGTTTTTTACCCTCCACCATTCTATGGAGGGTATATTAGTTTTGTCATTTCGTTTGTAACTCCGCGAAATATTCATAATAGACCCCACAAAGTATATATATTCTGGATCAGCGTAAAATTCTAAGACGATCTAGCGATGTCCGTCTCTCTCTGTCTTTTGTAATCACGCTATCTTTCGAACGAATTGAGATAGAAGGCTACAATTTTGCACCAGTAGACAGGTTAAGTTCGTAAATGGGTTATGTCGGCCCACGTTTTCGTAAAGCCCCCATATAACGGTACCTCCCAATATTTGGTATTTTCATGATTTTGCGACATTATTTACGGGATTATTTCAAATTTCTTATTTAAAGTTCATAATGGGTACCACAGCCTAAGACAAAACTTTTTGTATGCAGGTCCACGTCTTCGTATAGCTCCCATATAACGGTATCTCCCGATATTCGGTATTTTGATGATTTCAGCGACATTATTCACCGGAATTGTAACAAACTTCTTATTTAAAGTTCGTAAAGGGTACTACTGACTATGACAAAAAAACACGTCTTCGTATAGTCTTCATATAACGGTTTTCGATTAAGTGGTTGTTTTCAGATTTTTTTTTTTAATTTTTTAAGTTGCTTTCAAATGGTGGAGGGCATTAAAAGTTCAGCCCGGCCGAACTTAGCTGCTTTTTTAATTGTTTGCACTCTCTTCGCTTTAAGTTAACTTGCATGTCAGACATACGGAAGTGCCTAATATATATGACATGGTTGAATCGAGCCAAAATATGGGGTCCAAATCACTTATTGCAAAAAAAAAAAAAAAAAAAAAAACAAATGTTTGTCTGAATTCATAAGTCACCATTCTTGTTTTGAAAACAGATTTTTTCCGTAAAAGCTTTGGTAGGAACATCTTTTAGCAGTAGTGCTTGACAAATTGTTTTCCCATTTTAGTGGCAAATATTCTACTAAGATAAGATTGCTGATCTATCTAATTGTCAGAAAAGTCAAAAAATATCTAAAAAACATGTATCATCTAAAAGTGGAAGATGTTTTCATCTGAAATTGTTACCATGCTAAATATCGCACCTCTTAATATATACTGCACGAGTTTTTCAATTTCAAGAGTGTCACTTTAAAACATACCGTTACCAGTTACCAATTTAACACCTCCGGGAATTGAATATTATGCAAACTTATCCGACAACCGAAGTAACGTTATTACCCGCTTAAGTCAACTTTTTAGGCTGATTGTTTGCGTCAATTTTTAAAAAACACAAACGCACGACGGACAACTTGTCAAATCAAACATTTATCCATCAATCCATCCATTCATCCGCCCTTCTTTCCTTTCTTCTTTCCACTTACCTAATAACAATATACTGGCAATCAATAAAATAATCCAAGGCATACGATCCGATGGCATTATTTCCGTTCCCGTCAAATATAATGCCACACATATTGGCCACATGAGTAGAGCGTTGAGAAAGCCCAGCGTTGTGAAGGCAAACGCAATTTGTCCAACCGGTGGATCGCCCATCACTTTGCGAAACATGACCTTGATTAAATATTAAACAAAGAACGGGACAGAGAGGACGAAACAAAAAGACAACAATAATTATACGAAAGAAAAAAAACTACGTTAAAACAACAACAACGACAGAGAAAACAAAAAATTTAACAATTTAACCAGTCAGTCTAGCAAGTAGCTAGCCATCATCAATCGATGGCTAAATAAACATATGACTGGCTATGTGACCGATGGACTGATGACTGCCCAACTGACTGATTGCTATGACGGGATACCACAGATGTTAGGAATGTCAACATACTCGAAAGACGGCATAACAGGCGGCTGCCAAGGTGGCCAAAACCACCCCACTTAGTGTCGGACTTTCCGTAATACCATCCATGTACGCCAGCAATGCGATACCCGTATCACAGAGAATAACAGCAACAATCTGTTTGGGAAAAACACAAAAAACAAAAACAAAAACAAGAACAATTAGACACACAAAAAATAATGTTTGTCATTAATACAATTATACACTATTAGGTTGTTGTTGTTGTCGTTGTACTTGCATTAAATGTTACATTTTAATTTCAAAACAAGACAAGTGCCAAGCCCAATAACCGTTCACTTACCCTCACGCCCACAAACTGCTCGTGCAGTATCACCCAGGACAGCAGGTAAACGCATGCCACATTGGTGGCAAACAAGGCCATAGCATCGGTGGCAAATAAGACACGCAGAGATAACGTATAAAGGTAAGTGGTTAAAAGCCATAGTATACAAAATGATAGGCAGCGATTAAGAAAACGTCCTGCAAAAACAAAAATGGGGAAAAAGACACACAAAGAGAATTTAGATAAGTAATCTGTAATAACATGGTTGGGTGGTAAAATGATATGACTGATGACTGATTCATCAACGCCCAGGCCGCACGAAACGGCTAAAGCTAGAATCTTGAAATTTTGAGATAAAGCTGGTTTTGGGAAATTCGGTAAAAAATTCTATTTTATGAACGGATACAAATAAAATATATATATATCCTGGATTAGCGTAAAATTCTAAGACGATCTAGCGATCTCCGTCTGTCTGCCTGTATTATATATTATCGCTATATTTCAAACAAATTGAGATAGAAAGCTAAATTTGCATACATTCATAGTTTACCAGTAAATGGGCCATGTCGGTCGACGTTTTCATATAGCCCCCCATGTAACCGAACCGCCCGATATTCGGTATTTTCATGATTTTACCGACATTATTTACCGGACTTATTGCGAATTTCGTATTTGAAGTTCATAATGGGTTCTACAGCCTATGACAAAAATGTTTGTATGCAGGTTCACGTCTTCGTTTAGCCCCCATATGACGGTACCTCCCGATACTCGATATTTTCATAATTTTTGCGACATTATTCAAAGTAATTGTAACAAATTTCGTATTTAAAGTTCGTAATGGCTACTACAGCCTATGACAAAAAATTTCGTATACAGCTCCACGTCTTCATATAGTCCCCATATAAAGGCTTTCATTTAAGTGGTAGTTTTCGAACCGATGGAGGCGAAAAATTTCAAATTGCTACGAGAATCTAGTCTGAGACAATGGAATGGTATAAGGAGTTGGTTTTGGGGTGGCGTACTAACGGTATTAAATAGTACTAAATTTGGTACAATTTAATTTTTGGGTGAAAGGATGAATCTGAAATGTTGCATTGGAATCCCTGTTGTTGGGAGGTTTGTGATAAAAAAGCGGAAATGTGCACTACAAGTGCAAGAAAAGTACAAAATAGTTCTGGGTGAGATGAAAAAACTGCAACCAAGTTCATTTATAAGCCACATGTCCGACAGCTGTTAAAATTATTCCAGTGACAGCTCATTATATTGTTAACAAGCGTACCAAAGAATTTTGTGAGAATTTTCCGGAAAAAAAGTTGTTCGTGATGGACTTCAAGCGTAATAGTGTGATTTCTTTATATTTAGCTGGAAAACCACAAGTGGCTATCGTTAGAGCACTCCAGCATTTAAATGTGAATAAATCTTTTGTGTCTCGTACCATCGCTTGGTACCGTGATACTGGTAGCGTAGCCCGACGTCAAGGAAGTGGGAAGGAAGAAAACAGCAACATCAGCAGAAATGATTCGAAAAGTAAAGAAGCGACTTGATCGAAACCCGCGTCGCAGTGGCCGAAAAATGGCTCGTGAGCTGAACATATCGCAATATTCCATTCAGCAAATATTGAAAAATGAGCTCGGGATAAAGCCATTGAAATTCCAAAAAGTGCAAGAACTAAAAAGTTGCTTCGCTTGGCCGAAAGTGGTGAACTGCCGAATTTGGTTTTCTCCGATGAGAAAACATTCGTTGTCCAGCAGTTTGTAAACAAACAAAAAGATCGTGTTTACTTGCCAAAGAGGTCAGCTGAAAATGTACACCTTCGGTTGGCCATCAGAACTCAAGCGCCGGCCATTGTGATGCTGTGGGCCGCCATAACAGCCGATAGTCGCTCTCCGCTCGTATTAATTGACCGTGGCATCAGAATAAATGCCGAACATAATCGCGAAAATATTCTGGAGGGTGTATTAAAGCCTTGGGCACGCAAACATTTTGGCCGCAGACCTTGACATTCCATCAGCAATCAGCACGTGCCTCCCAAGAATTGTTACAAAATGAGGTTTCTCGCTTCATTTCCAGCGCACAATGGCCACCAAAATCTCCGGATACCATTCCGTTGGACTGTTGTGTCGGGAGTATTTTGGAAAGCAAGGTTGGTACTAAAAAATACCAAAGTGTCGATCACCTCAAGCAAGCGCTTCGCCGGGGATGGGCCAAAATACCACAGAGCAGCATTCGGGCAGCGTATGACGATTTCATTGGCCGTTTGAAAGCCATAATTCGTGCCATAGGTGTCCAATTCGAAAAAATCTAAACTTATTCCACAATTTGATGCTTTTTCCGACATTTTGCTTCTATTCAATAAAATTCAAAAGAAAATTTAAAAATTATGGCTTTTGTCTTTGTTGCGGTTTCTTTTATCTCACCCTGTAAAGTGCTTGATATCTGAAGTTTGGAATTAGGGTCGCTGTGCAAGTGTAGCCTGGACATATGGAGGTTGAAATATGTACTATTATTGTACGAAAAGTGCTGAATGGTGTTATATTTTGTATCGGGTGTAGGGATAGAGAAACAATTCTTAAATTGGATATTTAGATTACAGATCGTATCTGTATTTAAGATTTGGCAGCGGTATGCAAATGCGTCCCATTATTTTGTATTAAAAATAAAAAATTGTACTAAATTTAGAATTGGTTGAGGGAAAATGACTGGAAATCTTGAAATTTGATTTTGAAGTCCCTGTTGGTATCTGGAATTAAGATATGAAAGTGGTTTTTTGAAAAGTGCATTATATTTTTTCGAAAAGTACTAATTTTGGAGAGGTGTAGATTGTTTTGAATATGGGTACTAAATTTTGTATTGCTGGCAGGGATAGAGCTGAAGTTCAGATTTTTATACCCTACACCACAAGGTGGTCAGGGTATTATGTCTTTGTGCATTTGTTTGTAACAGCCAAAATGAAACGAGATAGACCCATAGTTCCTTTTGATGATCTGTATAGAATCACATTTTTAGTCGATTTATGCATGTCCATCTGTCCATGTATTTTTGCAAACAAAGTACAGTTCGCATTTATTGCCCTATCCAGATGAAATTTTGCATAAATCATTTGTTTGGCCCAAGGACGAACCCTATTGCTCCCATATATCTTCTTCCGATTTGCCTTTTATTGTGCACCAAACGTGTAATATCAGTCCGAATAGTATGGAATTTTGCACGTACGATCAGATTGGACCTGAAAATAAGTATGCCAAATTTGATCGAAATCGGTTCAGATATAGCTATAGCTACCATATATATTGTTCATCCGATTTGTTGTTCCGCAGCCGTAATATGCACTCTGTAACAACAATATTTGGGGAAATATATCAAATACATCTCAGAAATACATTTGCTGAATTTTATCGAGATGGGTTCAGATTTGGCTATAGCTCCCATATATAACTTCGTCCGATTTACCTTTTATTGTACACCAAACTTCTAATATTTGCCCAAATTGGACGAAATTTGGCACTTACGACCGAATTGAGTCTAGAAGCTAGCATGTCAAATTTGGTGAAGATCGGTTCAGATATAGCTATAGCTCCCATACATACTGTTCATCCGATTTGTTATATTTGTTACCCACAGCCGTAATATGCACTCCGTAACAACGATATTCAGGGAAATATATCAAATACAGCTCAGAAATATCTTTGCCATATTTTAACGAAATCGGTTCAGATTTGGATATAGTTCCCATATATATCTTTATCCGATTTGAAATTAATTGTGCACCAAATGGGTAATACAAGTCCGAATTTAAAAGATACAAATGCTTCGGCATATTTAGCCCTTTGAACTTTAAATTATAATTATAATAATAGCGTGTATGATTGAATTCTCCCATAAAAACTTTTAATTGTTATGTGGAGCTCTACTAAATTAGCAAAGTGGTGTAGGGTGTCATAAAGTCGGCCCCGACCGACTTTAAGACTTTCTTTACTGGTTCAATCTATTTCAGCACGTTGAAATGGTTTTGGATAGAAAAACTATTTGTGCGTCCATTGTGGTTTTGCTAATGTCTTCCTCGGTAAACTTCAAAATGAAAGATTTTTGGACAGTTTTTGGTGTAAAAGTCAACATTTTCGTATCATTCTATCCGAAAAAGGAAAAATTGAATTATATATAAAACCTTGAGGGACTCAAAACTTTTGGAACGAATCTAAGATTTAAAAATGCTTTATCGTCGTAAAATTTTTACATATTCCAATCTCTCCTAATCACAGCCCTGTTAGACCCACTTGCGAAATTCCAATCTTGCCGATCACTAAATAACAAGACACTTAATAAAAAGTTCTAGCTCTAATTGATAGCTCAATAACCCTTTGGTACGTTTGATATGGTACATAATCGACTTATACGAAGTTTGTATAAGATTCCCTATTTTCAAAATGTTGTAACAAAATGAACTTCTACTAAATTTCATAAAAATGTTCCGATATGGAAAATGTAATCTTTTGTGTGCGGATTCTGATTCTTCATATTTTTTCAAATGCTCGTTCACTGAAATCAAAATTTTAAATTAATAAAAATCAAATATTATTCCACTCACCTATAGTGAACCCCCGATCTCGGAATCCCCTCAAAATATCACCCAGGATCTCGCCTGGCTTATCACATTTTCTCAACGATATTCTCCCCAGCACATAGATGGGGAAAAACAACAGCGAGAAATTTGTGAAAAACCAAGCCGCAAAGAAGGGAGCACTAAAAATATTCGCCTGCTTTGGGGTTTCTGGTGGTATACTGAATATTTTTGTGGCATCCTCAACATCCTCCAGACTGAGCGTGTGATCGTTAACCGGCAGCAGTGAATCAATGCCCAACTCAATGCCCTGTATGTCGGTCACAAAGTCCAATTCATCGACGGCCAATGAATCGATGTCATCGATTGCCGTCATGTATGTGCTGCGATTTAGATATAGGAATTTAATGCAGTGCGTTGCCCCCACCCAGGACGCCGTGACCAGGATGGTGACACAAACACCGAAATACATTTTTTGTGCCAATTCGGAGCAGCAGGTCTCTCGGCAGGCTTTAAGGCGGGGAAAACGAGTTGTTGCATTGTCATTTTGACCAGCTTCGGTGGTGGGCGAGTCGGTATCGATGCCACCACTTGTGCCACCGGCACCTGTTGTTCCACCACCGCCGGCACCGCCACCACCTCTTGCCGCAGGAACTGTACAGGATGATTCAGGATGTATGGTAATAACTTCATTAGGATCTTGTTGGCTAGACGATATTGAGTCTTGGTGGGTTATTTGAGGATTGCTTGCATTGAGTATGTTGGTAAAGCCGCCTCCATATGGACCATTGGGCGAGTCGCCCGTTACCACAACGGAGGGCGTGCGAACACGATGCTGTTTGGGATTGAAGATAGCAGGTATTTCGCCGTCTCGCGTCATCCTCGGTTCGTTGCTGCTGCTATTGCTGCTGATGTTGTTGTTGACAACGTTAGTAGCCACCGTTGCTGTTGTGGGTCGTCGAACCGAATTTTCAAGAGAGTTCTGTTTATTGGAGATTTTTCAAACATATCGAGTGGATGTTGTGTTTCGACATTTAATCATTATGTTCGATAAGTGTGAGAAGAAATTGACTGAAAATAGAAGAGAAGAATACAACATGTTATTTTATGTATTCAATTTTTAAGGCATTTTCTTCAAAGGGGCCTTGAAGACCTTTTGAAGGACTTCTATAGATAGAGATTCTTTTGAAGTTATTCTATAAACAGAAGACCTTGCGAAGGTCTTCTTTAGACAGCAGAACTTTTGAAGATCTTCTATAGACAAAAGAACTTTTAAAGATCTTCTGTAGCAGAAGATCTTGCGACGGTCTTGAATAGACAGAAGAACTTGAAGGTCTTCTATAGACAGAATACCTTGAAGGTCTTCTATAGACAGAATAACTTGAAGGTCTTCTATAGACAGACTACCTTGAAGTTCTTCTTTAGACAGAAGGTCTTTTTTAGACAGAAGAACTTTTGAAGATCTTCTATAGAGTAAAAACCATTTTAAAGTTTTCTCTAAACTTAATACCGCTTAAGGTCATCTGTCTTAAGAAGGTCTTCTGCCTAGAGAAGGTACTCTACAGACAGAATACCTTTTAAAAGTTTTCTAAAGACAGAAGACCTTGCGAAGGTCGTCTTTAGACAGAAGAACTTTTGAAAATCTTCTATAGACAAAAAACCATTTTAGGGTCTTCTCTAAACTTAATACCGTTTAAGGTCATCTGTCTAAAGGAGGTCTTCTGTCTAGAGAAGGTATTCTACAGATAGAAAAACTTTTGAAAGATTTCTAAAACAGAAGACCTTTCTAAGTTCTTTAATAGACAGAAGGTCTTTTATGGAGGGAAAACCTTTCAAAGGTCTTTTAAGGACAAAAGACTTTTTGAATGTATTCTATAAATCGTATAGAGACAGAAGCCGTTTTTAATGACTTCTGTAGTCAGATGTCGTTTTTTCTAAGACCTTGCGAAGGTCTTCTATAGACAGAATACCTTTAGAAGGTCTTCTATAGGCAGAAAGCCTCTTAAAGGTTTTCTATAGACGGAAGACATTTTGATGTTCTTCTAGAAACAATAGATCCTTAAAGCATACATATAATACCTTCTGAAGATCTTTTATTGATGGAAGATTTTTTGAGGTCTTCGATAAATTAAAGATAGATGGAATACTTTAAAATACTTCTATAAATAGATAGCCTTTCAAGGAGGTGATTTAGATGACATCTTTCAAAAATCCGAAAGAAGATTTTCCGGAGAGGGCAAATTTTCAAGTTCTTTTCACAGCAGAACTTTTAATAGTCTACTCTAGAGGACCGAATCTCTTTTAAAACATTCTTAGATAGAAAAAAGTTAAAAAGCAGTAAGTTCGGCCGGGCCGAACATTGAATAGCCTCCACCATTTGTAACGAATTTGGAAATTTTCAAAGAAAAAATAGAATCCCTTAAAAATTCCGTTAAAATCTTAAAAATACCTAATACAGGGAATTACCGTTATTTTTAGGTTTATAAGAAGACGTGGTCCTGCGTAGGAAATTTTCTGTCACAGGCTGTAGTACCCGTTACGAACTGCAAATACGAAGTTCGAAACAATTGCGGTGAATAATTTCGCTAAAATTACCGAATATAGGGAGACCCCGTTATATTGGGGCTATGCGAAGATCTAGACCTACATAGTCAATTTATCGAAACAGGCTGTAGTACCTATTAGGCACTTCAAATACGAAATTTGAAACAATTCCGGTGAATAATGTTGTTGAAATCAGGAAAATAGCGAATATAGGGAGGTATCGTTATATGGGGGTTACACGAAGACGTGGACCTGCATAGGCCAATTTCTGTCACAGGCTGTAGTACCAGTAACAATTTGCCTATACGAAGTTTGAAACAATTGCAGTGAATAATTTCGCTAAAATTACCGAATATAGGGAGACCCCGTTATATTGAGGCTATGCGAAGATCTAGACCTACATAGTCAATTTATCGAAACAGGCTGTAGTACCTATTAGGAACTTTTAATACGAAATTTGAAACAATTCCGATGAATAATGTTGTTGAAATCAGGAAAATAGCGAATATAGGGAGATATCGTTATATGGGGGTTACACGAAGACGTGGACCTGCATAGGCCAATTTCTGTCACAGGCTGTAGTACCAGTAACAATTTGCCAATACGAAGTTTGAAACAATTGCGGTGAATAATTTCGCTAAAATTACCGAATATAGGGAGACCCCGTTATATTGAGGCTATGCGAAGATCTAGACCTACATAGTCAATTTATCGAAACAGGCTGTAGTACCTATTAGGAACTTCAAATACGAAATTTGAAACAATTCCGGTGAATAATGTTGCTGAAATCGGAAAAATACGGAATATAGGGAGGTATCGTTATATGGGGGCTACACAAAGACATGGACCTGCATAGGCAAATTTCTGTCACAGGCTGTAGTACCCGTTACGAACTGCAAATGCGAATTTTGAAACAATTTCGGAGAAAAATGCCTCAAAATACCGAGTATAGGGAGATACAGTTATATAGAGGCTTTACGTAAACGTGGACATATATAGCCCAATACTTAAGGTTCTGCCGACCAAAGACACATCTGAGTAAAATTTTTTCAACGTACTTCAATTCGTTCGGAAGCTAGAATTGTTTGTTGATCAAGAATATATACAGGGTTGCCCATATTCGACGGACCCATTTTTACCATTAACCAATACATGCCACGGGAGCGCTCTGAAATAGTTGAAATTTACATTCAACAGAAGAAGTCAATTGTAAAAAAAAAATGTGAGAAGTGCGCCTTCTAAGAACACCATTAAGCGTTTATACGAAAAATTTCGACTGGTAAGGCTCTTTCTAGTCCGAAGAGGCCATATAAAAGTCGACCAAGGCGATCGGCCGAGAATATCGCTGCCGTACGAGCCAGTGTTGAGAGGTCCCCCAGGAACACCCCAAAAACGCCGTTCTCAGCAGTTGAGCATGGCTCGGCATTTGTTCCCGTACAAAATTCAATTGACGCAAAGAATGTTGCCTGTGGACAAGCCTCGTCGATTGGAATGGGCCCAAAGGTCCGTCGAATATGGCCAACCCTGTATACTTTGTGGGATCTAAAATGTATTTTTCGAGGTGTTAGACACGGAATGACAAACTTAATATACCTTCCATACTATGGTGGAGGGTATAAAATTACCGTTTAACGGTCTTCAATAGAAGGGAATGCCTTGGTACCGTTTATTATGGTACGGTCTTTTATAGAACAGTAGATCTTAAAATGGTCTTTATTAAACATGTTAAATATTTTTGGGAGATCTCTTACAGGAGTTTTAAAGACGCAATGTCATTGAAAAGTCTTCTTAGGACAGAATTTATTTTACAAATTTATAATAAACTGAAGATCATCTATGGACAGAAACCCACTAAGCGGCTTTAAAGTATTTTTTTAGACAAACGCCTTAAACATTTTTTTCTTTGACATCTTCACCCATCTCCACCATGGCGTATTAGTGAATAATCAAACATATCACTTATACGCACCCTTGTGCAACATTTAGCAAAATAAATTATTCAAAACGAAAATTGAAATTTGATTTGAAATGAAATGACCACGTTAGCATTAGCAAACAAGGCTATAACATGCACACAATTATTATTCCAATGCTCTTGGCATTGAAATCGGACGGATGTCATCGTCTTTTATGGCTGGCTGTCGACTTCACAACAAGAAATCGAAAGACAAACAACTAAGCCAAACATCCATAACTAACAACAATGGCCACGTTTAATGGTCTCCATTATACACATCCAAACATCCATGAATTTGTCCATCCATCTACATAGTATACGTAATCCTGTTGTGAGAGAGCCAATGAGTTTTTTTTAATGTCTTGCCTCGGGTCAAAATTTTGGCCAGTTGTTGTCGTTGTCGTTGCTTCGTTTCCATTTCTTGTCATGTTCAGAGTGGGTCATTTTTGTATGAATTATAAATAAATCGAGAATATTTATAAACTCATCTAACGAAGACTGTATAGACCGGAAACTAGATACAATGTTCGGGTTGAAGGTAAGACAAATTAATTGAAAATGTGTTTTTTGTGTAATTGGAATTGTAAATATAGAAAAGGGGAGGTCAGCAGGGAATGTAAAACATTAGAATGGGAGGTGTAAATGTTGTACATATGTAACAGGTAGATATTATATGTATACTCTGAAATTATGTTATCCTACACTACTATGCATATTTACATAAGGAATTTATGAGAAGTAGTACCAACTGTGATATATTTTGAAGGCCTATTACGGCTCTAGATAAGTTATAATTTGAGACCCAAAGGGACTAATATATGGGAGGTACAATCTACTCTGAATCGATTTCCTCTAAATTTGACGGAGACATTTGTGTCTCTAAATTAAAAAAATATATATCGGAACTATAGCAATATTTTTACAAAATCCATTTGGTTTGGGCTGTTATTACACTTTTGTTGCACAATGCACGTGAAATTGAATGAAGATATATTCGGAAGCTAAATCCAAATCTGCACCGATCTTTATAAAATTTAACAGAGGTATTTGTTGTATGCTGTATCTGATAGTTTTTGTGGAGTCCATTTTACGACTGTGAGGGATTTAAATACATAATCGGATGAAGTGTAGATATGGGACCTATAGCTATAAATGAACGGATTTTCACAACTTTTGATACAATTTCCTATAGGCTGCGTAAACCGTGAGTCCTAAAATTGATCCGATTTGGGCTGAAATGCAGTTAGTGCACAATAATTGTAAAATCGGACAATTCTCTATATTGAAGGCATATCCAAATCTCAAGTGATATTCACAAAAAGTAGCAAACAAGTTTCTAAAATTCATCCGATTCGGACCGATTAAAATCGAATGACACTACGTATGGGAGCTATATCTAAATCGAAACCAGGGTTCAATGGGATTCGGCTTTGGGTAAAATTTTATCTAAAGCAGTTGATTAATGTCACCTGCATTTTGTTCACAAAAATACATGTACAGTGATTGATGTCCGAACAAGCGGACATCAATAAATCGATTCAGATAGTTATTGTAACCATGAGTCTGTATC